TGTCATCGACAACTAATTGCATTTTAATACCCAAATTAAATGGAGAGGAAAGGTACTTAAAGATTCTACTTTTTATGACAGTTTAAAAAAAAAATTAAGATGGTAAATATTATCCTCATAATGTTTTATCCGTTTTTGTAGCTTATCTAACAAAAAGTATCTTACGTGTTAGAAAATCTGCCGGACGTTGTATTAGTGTTCACTTACCGACAATTGAAAGCATTTACGAAAAAATGGTAAATAGGTAACATAAAAAATGATAATAAAAGATTCTAAACACGAATTTGATAAGTTTAGGCCTAATGTTTAATACACGAAACGGTCTACTTTAATTATTTATTTAGGGAAACATTAACCAATTCTCTAGATGTGCAATTATATCAACAATGACCGGTAATTTGATATATACTTTTATAAAATGTGCATTTCAATGTAATAGTTTTGCATTTTATATTTAACTTACATTGAGTAGATTTTGATGCAGTATTAATGTGAACTTTTTTTGTTTATGTTTATATATATATTATATCACTTATATATATATATATATACATATATACACTAAGTTGCTAAAACAGATTGTCGTCGGCATGTTTTGATTATCTTTCCTATATTTAAAACAATTATTTTTGTCTAGATATAATACTACCTGCAAACAAGGCTTCTAATATAAGAAACGAGTAAGTACTAACCCAAGTCTGCATACGTATTCACCACTTCTGGTACAATTAAGTTGGTTTTCAGATAATGTTTGTAAATTTCTACCTCAAGCCAGTCTGTATTACTGTAGAACATTTGCATAATATGCAGGATTCGTCCAATCCACAGCCTAGCGACACTGTAATTTGGTGTATTCTTTAATGTGCCGTTCATATAAGCACGCATTTGTTTAATCTTGGTATTTCCTGTTGATGTAATATTGATAATAATAATAATAATAATAATAATAATAATAATAATAATAAGATAATATTAATAAAAATAATAATAAGAATAATGATAATTATAATGCTCACAAAATAAAATAAATAAATTCATATCAGATGTAAAAGCAACAGATATCAAAATTCATCCATTCCACTTCCAATTAAATGCTTGAACTCACAGTAAGATACTGTGAGAGATACCGACGTTATTTTATTAGCTCAGATTTTAGAATTTGTCATTTTCTCATTTTTATTAAATAGTTTTATAACTAATCTACATTTTATATTTAACTTTTAACGGATTTTAATCAAACTTTGAAATTCTATGTATAATAAATTACTTTTTGCGTTTAACCTTTGCGGCAGCACGTTTAAATGCTTTAGAAAGCGCAAATTTTATAACGTTTATATAATTTAATAAAAAAAATTAAATGCTCCTCATATCCACAACCTACTCCGGATCGTTACCAAAATTTATTTATAACTATTCTGAACAGTTTCATTTTTATCCATTAGTCACTTTTTGAGATACTTAGGTCTGGGGCGTTAGCCCTTAAAATGACCCTTCCCCAACTTCACACCTGAATCTAGATCGTCACTAACATTTAATAATGTCTTTCTTGTAACTTGGTCAAATTTTACAAAACATTCATCCTGATGAATTGGTCAGTTTCTGGTATATCTGGTCTATGTTTCCATTTTAATGGTCATCATAACCACACCTTACTTCGGATCGTCACTAAAATTTAATGTCTTCATTAGATCATGACAAACTATTCCGCAAAGTTTCATTTAGATCCATTGATAACTATTTTGAGATATTAAGGTCTGGGACGTTTAGTATTTTAAATAACCCTCAAATTCACATCCGAATCCAGACCGTCACCACAATTTAATAATGTCCTACTTTTCGTTTCGTTTGAATAGTCCTCATATCCACACCCTACTCCGGATTGTCACCAAAATGTAATGATTTCTTCATTGGACCAAGACAAACTATTAAAGAAAGTTTCATATAGATCTGGGACGCTAGAACTTTAAATGATTCCCAAATTTACACCCAAAAACTTGATCGTCATTTGAATTAAAAATTAAATAATTTCTTCTTTGTAACTTGGGTACACTTTTGCGAAAATTTCATTCAGATCAGTTTATCCGTTCATGAAATATTTGGTGGGACGTTTTTCTTTAAATTGTCCTAATATCCGCACACTACTTTAGATCGTCACCAAAATGTAATCATTTCTTTATTGGATCATGACAAACTATTATAGAAAGTTTCATTTAGATCCATTGATATATTTTTTTTTAATATTTAGGTATAGGACGTCAGGAATATAAATGATCCGGTTTACACCCTAAACCGGATAGTTCTTTCTTGTAACTTGGTTAAACTTCCCTGAAAGTTTTATTCACATCAGATTATCCGTTTTAAAAATATCTGGCATGGAGTGTTTGCCTTCAAATCACTTTAATTTGTCCTCACATCCACACCCCACTCCCGATTGTCACTAACTTTTACGCGACACATTTTTGGTATATGGTCTATGTTTGGACAATGTTTGGAAAAGATCCAACAAGCATGGAAAGTGACAAGCATGGAAAAAACCCTATGCAAAAAGATAGGAAAATCTATATGCAAAAAAAAAATCAGAACAAAAGCAATGGCTTTTCCTGCTGTTACTGCTAGGAAAAGCCAATGATGATGATGATGTTATTAAGATACAGTGATTCATGCAAACAAGGCCACTAATGTAAGCATTAGCGTACACAAAATACACCACGACCTCTTATAAACCTTAGCCTTTTGTGGTAAAATCATAAAAATGAATTTCCGGCTGAGGTTTTTTTTGTAATTAAAAAAAGAACAGTAAAGAATAGTAAAGAGCTAATAACAGTTTACTGAAATATATGTATAAATACTAAAATCCAATAGGCCTATCTTAAGACCAATAATATTTTACTCCTTGTTAAAATAAAATGTATCTTCTTTCTTGTTTTAAATAATGTTGGTAATTTTAGGTAATATTATCCTCACCTTTTATCAGTTCCTCTCCATTCATATACCAGTATGCCTTTCCAGATTCCTTGTAGGAAATATCGGTGTTTTCTGAAACAATTTCTTGTATGGCAGCTTCGATTTTGTTTGGTAAAACAGTTCCTTCTAAAAAGGAATATATATAGTGTCGTTGAACATGTATTCACAAAATTATCAATTTCATATACATTAATATACATTTATTTTCTCAAGCGTTTCATCGTCACTGTACAAATGGGATAGTTAACATCTATAATATACATCAAAGATAATGAGAAGATGTTCTAAAACAACAAAGTATGGAAATATAATAAAGCAACTAGTCTGCGTAAATGAATAGCCATTCGGAATAACAAATATTGTAAGAGAACAAATGAGTAAAATGATGTAGGTAAGATGGCAAACCTAAAAATAGTCTAAAATAGCCTATTAATTTAAAATAAATAATTTGACTAAAATAAAATAAAAATAAATATATAAACATAAATGACAAACCTATTGTACATATAGTCTAAATTTAAAATCAATAATTTAAATAAAATTAAAAATATATAAATATTATATTTGAATAATTATTATATATTTATACTATACATATTAATAAATTAACCTGTTTTTATATTTAATTTTTTATCTATTTTTCAATTTTGCAATAATATAATGATTTTTATTCGTAATGTAATTGAATTAGTGTATTTCTATTGTAAGTAATTATCTTTTTTTACTGTATATATTAATTAAGTACAAAAACAAGATATTCAATTAATTTGTGTCGTCATTTTGCACTTGTTTAATTAATCTTATTAAGCATTTGTCACTGGAAGATGAATTTCCTTTTGTATTTTTTACGAGAAGGACAATAAAGTTATCTATTTATCTATCTATCTATCTACCTACCTATCTATAAATAAAATTAAATAAATAAAAAAATTAAGATAAATATATAAACATAATAAATAATAATAAAAAAAATCCTCATGAATCACGGCACAGTGCTTCTAATTATTCGGCGACGTACAGTGAGGGGAGCAGTCAACTGAAATTGAAATTAGGAAATTAACATTGTCAGACCGTGGAAGTTTGAGTATTATTTGTGATTTCGATTGTGGATGTGATTGATAAATGTTGCAATAAAGGGTTAATCAAGAGTGAATAGCCGTCATCTGAAATGAACAAATGTGTACGTTGATGATTAATTTGAAAAATAAATCAACTTTTTCCGACGACCGCTAAGATATGGGAGACTTGTTCAACCTAATTTGCATGTTCCCCAACATGCTATTGAGGTGTGATTTTTGAAATTTCATATCCTCGTCATTTGTACTATATTAAAAAGAATTCAATTTGTTTGTAATTTGTTTGACTTTAAGTATTGCATAAGCTAGTAGCCGTTATTTGTAATTCAAATCCATGCTGTTTTTTCTGGATTATGAAAATGCAAGTGCTAGTACCTCAATATCCAGTCTACGACCAGACTAGTATTGTTAAGCATACATGATAGCAGTATCCACAAGCTCCTTAAGTCATCAACACTGGCATTTCATATATTTCACCGTTCATATGCTTACTAATAATAAGGAAAACATGACTTAGACAGGCAGATTTAGAGCATCGAGTCAAACAAGTTGCAACAGTTTGTTTTATTGCTGATTCTGGTTCATAAAGTTGTGCTAAACATATCCAAAATGGGACGCAAGTTTCAACCCAGAAGTCGCCTTATTTGCATAAATATGCAAATTAGCTATTTATATTAAGGAAATGTCTAATATTTGCAATAATTCTGTATCTAAGCATGTACTCATGATAAATAACATATTTAGACCCATGTTTTAGGGACAGAAAATGTTATTAGGATATTTGTGAATGATATTTTATGCATATAATTATGTTTCATATGCAAATTAGTTGCCGCCATTACAGGAAAATTGATTTTCTACAATAACTTTTTATCTAAGCATTCAATCATGACAAATAAAGTGTTTATACCTATGTTTCAAGGGTCAAGGCACATTTTTACCCTATTTTTGAATTAATTTTATGCATATAATTATGTTGGATATGCAAATCCCGCCCAGTTGTTTGTAAGTGAACGATTATTAAAAGGTGTTTGTCGGATATTAAGTGTTTTACAGTTATACATAATCTAACGATATCAGGTGTGATCCATTTCATTTTATTTAGCTTAAGTAAATAAAACTAATATACAAGATAATTGTTGAGAAGTAGAAATGCTTATTATTATGGTCCCCCTGTATGTTTTTGGTGTGTCACTGTTTTGGTAGTTGATTTTTGCAGGTACCCATCATACACTACTATTAGGTGGACATATCTTTGTATTATACTTATATACTTTGATTTTACTATAATAACTTTTTATCTAAGCATTCAATCATGACAATTAAAGTGCTTATATAATATAATTATATAAAAATAAATAAATAATGAAATAATAATAAAAACAATAATAATAAAATAATGAAAAAAATAATATGGATACTTTGCTTGACATGATTGAATACTTAGATGCAGAGTTATTGCGAATAATCGATTTTTCTTTAATGGCGGAAGCTAATTTGCATAGTCAACATGGCCATATAGGCCTCCTGTGCATATAATTAATTCACAGATATGCTAAACATATTTAATAACCATGAAAACATGGCCTTGGACACTTTATTTGTCATATGCAAATGCTCAAGACACAAATATCTGCCTAAAATCAATTTTCTTGTACTAATAACCGCTAATTTGCATATTCACTATAATTATATACATATGATAATTCACAAATATGCTGATAATATTCCCTAACCTTTAAAACATGTTTATGAACACTTTCCTTGTCATGATTGAATGTTTAGATGCAGAAATATTACGAATACTCTATTTTACTTTAATGGCGGAAGCTAATTTGCATATTTATGCCCCTTGAATCTGCCACTAAATTACTCATCATAAAAAGTTTTTAAAATTATCCCTTTAGTCATAATTATGCCCGCATATATATTTCGTGCAAACTAACATTCATAAAAATACTGATTTATTATCTACTGATTAGCTTGTAACGTATTCAAAATTCGAACCATGAAAAACAAATAGGCCTAAGATAAGTCATTAATTTAGTCTTTTTGCATTTACAGTACTTCTAAAATCAATCAAGAAGTTTTTGCTTTTCTCCTCTTCTTTAATTTCACTTTTGTGTAAGTAATACTGCGACTGCACTATTGTGAGTGGAAATAATACCGTCTAATTTACGATCGAACAGGACTAGGGAAGTAGGGAGCACACAAAACATTAATAAGCATTTTGATTTCACAAACATAAAGGTGATTTACTTAATTTATCCAGTGGCGGTCACACCCATTCGCGCATACATGGAGGGAGGAACCTTATTTATTTTTCACAAAATAAACTTAACTAGCCAAAGGCAATTAAAAAACCAAGCCAAACACAATTGAAAGAGTAAACGTCATAATTTCAAATGCATAAAAGACTAATAATAATTAATTTATGGGCTAACATAGGCCTACATCCTGTGATCCATCATGTTTAAAAAAGCAATAATTTCACAGTATATTCAAATAAAGGCCCTGCTTTGAACAAACTCCCCCTCGAATAAACGTGCTCCTCCCACACCTCCACATAAAAAAAAGGTCATTAGGAATAAACGCCTCGGGGTGTTTAATTTTCTTTGAATTGTCTCTAAGTAACTATGGACGGATGAAATGGAAGCAACATCTTTTTCAACATTGAATTAATTATCAATGGTTTACCTTAATGGAATTAAATTAACTGCTAATTAGGGATGTATATAAGCCATGCATAAACACTTTTTAACATTAATCATGTACATTTACCAGTAAACGCTGGCTCCTCAAAAATCAACTGAACAATTATGCCCCGGGGCTTATTAGAATAAATGCGGTATAATATAATTATTGTATTATATATAAATTTTACTTAATTATCTGACTATAATGCCAAATAATAATATAGAAACAAAGGTATGATTACCAATCAAATTATAACAAATCAATGCATTCAAGTCTAAGAACAATAACATCAATCATTATCGAACGTAATTAAACATGCAGGTGGGTACGATTCGTCTGTTCAACCGCCGCTCTTCGTCGGTTGTCCTCTCCTGGTTCCTGTTGGTTTCGAGATTGGCGAGGCCTTGTCGCCACTCGTATTAGACTCACGATCAGCCAGGGATATGATCGGGCCGGGTTTAAATTAGTCACTTTTTGGTCGAAGGAAATGGTTTGATTTTAGTATTACTCGATGAGAAGTTCATATGAACATCATAATTTATATTAAAATATTGTTTTTGTCACTTTTACGGACTTGTAGCGTGTTTTAAGATGCCTCGCACTTTTGGTACAATACTACAGCTATACTTAGTCCTGCTCGCATGAATTGCAGTTGACGTGGTCACGAGGGTAGATGGCTTGCATTAATATCTGGTTGTTAAACTGCTAAAATGAACTTTAGCGGGAAAAAGTAAAGGAAAATTAATTTTTGGTTTTTCTGAATCAGCATACCCTATAGTGTCTCAGAAAAAAATCCCCATGCCTAGGGTTTGGGCAATTGTTTTTACAGCACTTAGAAATTTTGACCTAAAATACCCTATTTTTAACTATTTAAGATGGGGGTAGGGGAAATAAATTTATGTTTTTGGTCACTTTTACATATACTGTGAATATTAAATGTAACAACAACTTGGCTAAATAGTTACTCATCACTCTCATTTAAAAATTTGATCGGAATGATGACGTTATCATGATAAATTCCAAGATGGCGTTTAATGTAAAAATGTTATCAAAGTACAATATAATCCCAATACAATATTATACATACAGGTCTTTTTAGCTTTGTATGGCCCAAAATTTTGCTTTTAAGCCAAAATATTAGGGATTGGCAATCAAAATAATGTTATATGGATAAGCAAATCATTATTTGTGGTGTGGCAACCTTGTCGAGGCATCGGACGATGGAGTCTAAGCCTGTCAGACGGGAATTCCCCACCTCCCAAGCAAATTTGGAATGATGACGTCAACACACCGAATTCCAAGACTACGACAATCAAAATTAAAGGAAATGTTTACCTATTTAAATTTAATCTT